CGTTATAGATGATGTTAAATAGTTATGGACAGAGTGAAATAGTTACATGTCACGCTAGATCATTTATGGGTAGACTTACATGCTTTTACATAGAGCTAGACAGTTTTGGATAGAGTTAGGTAATTATAGATATTTATACTCAGTGGTAGATAGTTATAGATAATGTTATACAGTGATGGATAGAATGTGATAATTATCTTTGGTATTAGATAGTTATGGACTGTGTTAGATATAGATTTAGATAGTTATAGATAGCGTTATATAGTTATAGATAATGTCCAATAGTTATGTATAGTGTTAGCTGGTTATAAATAGTGTTAGATAACATCGCTAGAATTAAGGGAAAACTAACTGAGAAGCGAACTGAGGGTTAGGGTGATAGATTTTAATGAGAATTATTTTGATTTATACATTGGCTACGGGGTGTTGCTGGCTTGACCAACATTTTTTTCTCATCCCAATTTGACCGAAGGGCAGTTAAGAGTCAACCCCATCACTGTGGGTGTGGAGTCACATATAGGCCAGATCATGTGAAGACGGCAGATTTCCTTCCCTAAAAGCCATAAGTGAATGTGATGGGTCTCTACAACAGTTGACAGTGGTCACATGGTCACCATTAGAATTGTTTTTATTTCAGATTTTTTTTTAAATGAAGGGAGGAGGTTCGAGCAGAGCAGGAATACAGCACAGACTGGTTGGGCTGAATGGTCTGTATCATGCACTGAAATTTTTCAAATAAACACATTCCCAAGATGTCATTATCTCCAAACAATGGAACTTTGACCAGTTTCTGTGAAGACCCTCAACTTTGGCACAATTGGACCACATCATGGCCAATGATCCTTGCTCCAAGGAGAACCTCTGGAACTCAACTTGCCTGTACCAGAGGAATCCAGGAGAATTAACCAGGATTCACCTCTGGCAGCTACTCAGTGATCTGGGGAGTTGGGATCTGGCAGTAAGCTGCATGTTCCTTGACCCTGGTGAGGCTGAGGGAGATGGGAGGCCATCAGCTGCACCCTCTTCATTGCAGTTCACAGGAATGGTCCTCAAATAATCTGATAGTTATGGAGGAAGGATTGTCCTTTCACTACGTAGCCCCTCGCCTCCTCAGAAGGTGCTTGGAAAAGTGAGTAAGTGTGTAAATTCTATTCAGCAGAACTCAGAAAGTTCAACATTGCAAAACTTGCAACTCTCTGCAAAATCTTGCGTCTGAAATTTCAAATATCCGGTTTGACTTTCAGCCAAAGCTCTTTGAAGCTTCACGCCGCAGATAGAGAGCAGAGGCTTGGGGAAAATCAAACCGCCTCTCTCGCTGTTTCCTGCTGTCATTTCCTGAGCTTTTTTTTTCCCCACGATTTAATTAAACGCATACCAGAGGGGGTGTGGCCAATTCTTCACTCAGACACTGCGCAAACTGAAGCTTCAACTGAGGTTACGAGCTTTTGTGACTTTCCCTGCTTAATTCCCAATTTCTGGGCTGCCGCACTTCTTCAGTGTGTACGTCTGGAATGACCATTACGTGTAACACCAATGTTAGAATGAGGTGAATCCCAACCAAGAGCAGGATCAGACAACAGCAGCTGGAATGTCTTCCTGAGGTCTCCATTGTCTTCACTGCGTCTGCTCTGACGAAGTATCGAGACCAGCTGGGTAAGTGAAGCTGACTTTAAAGACTGATTGTGTGAGGCTGGGTCTGACAAAGGGGCTGCCTTTATTTTCAAGTATAGAGCAATAATCTTGGATGTGGAAAGGTTTCTTCTGCACCTCTTCAGAGTGATAGAAAGCTTAACACGAAATATAGGGCCCACCGGGATGGGTCAGCAACAAAACAGGAGCCAACATCAACTAAAAGTTTATTCAGAATGTTGCCAAGGTCAGAATTTATTTTACAAAAGTCCAACAGTTATGTGTTAATTGTTGCTTCAATGCTACTGTGTTCAGAGGAGGAAGAGAGAGAGACACAGAAAGACCCAGAGAATGGGGTTCGGTTAACAGGGCGTTGTTTCATACGTGGAAATCTGGCCAGATGTTTGGGAGGGAGATGTTTGCTATAGATAGGCATTCTGCTGACTCAGCCTCTTACAGTGGCCTGTGCCAGGTCTTCAGAGACTGCAGGCTCCAGATACATGGAAAATATCTTTTAAAAGTATCAGGGGAGAGAAACTCTGTCTGAAATGACTTTCCTCTAAAGCCTTGTTGATGTATCCATAAACTTTGGCAGGTAAATGAGAAAGCAGACGCATGAACTAATCTTGCTGGGTAAATGCAGAACTGAGACGCACTGGAGAAATCCTGCTTCCTATTCACCAAGTCCTCAGTTGACCACTCCCTATAGTTTTCTCAATAAAAACTGAAAGAACTACAGATGCCATAAATCCCTGTAGTTTTCTCGTTTCCTCCTCCAGAAGAGTTATACCCTCATCTGAAAGTTTTCCATTTATTCATTCTTGGGATGTGAGTGGCATTGACAAGGCCAATGCTTGTTGTCCACCCCCAACTGCTTTCGAGCTTCAGTACTTTCTGAAAGCTTCACTTGTTCTCTATTTCCTATTCATTTAGTCGATGTTACATTCACTTTCTTTTCTGCTGAAAGACAACTTCTTCCTCATCCTTCACTGCCTCACAAAAATTCCAAAACTCTCATCATGACTTTGTTGCCAATAGATTCAACCATCCCACTCTCCTCCCAGCCAGTTCCCATCTTGTAACTTCAGTTCATGCAAACCCCTGCTCCCTGTATCCTCATTCACCCCTGGTCACATTTCCCTATCACCCTTCACTGACCTGCATTGGATCATGGTGTAGCAACACTTCAATTTTTAAAAAACTCACTGACATTTTGAAAAGGTGATGACCTTTGATCAGGTGTTCCAGAAGAAGTGTGAACTTTGTTCATCTTTGCTTAGAGGCTGTTGGCTCTGCTAAGCATTGTGTAGAATTCTCTGCTTTAAATTCTAGCCTCACCTCTGGTTTGATGTCTAATTCTGTGTGGAAGCACCTCATTAGTATTAACTGGGTGAACAATGCTACACAAATGCAAGTTGTTGTTGTGAACTGGATCCCAGTGAGGGGACTGTTTCCGTGTGCTGCTCCTGGTGTAACTGCAACAGGAAACAGTCTTCAGACACCTCTCCTGCTACAGACTCATTGAGATTCCCGAACACACTCAGGTGAACATAGGTGAGTGGTGTGAAGGTGGCTGACAGTGAGCAAAGTCCAGTGAACTGCTGCTGAGGCTTTGAAAGGGTTAAAGATGTGGAGGAAGCAGCTGGTTTTCTCACAAAGCTGATTTGCCCAAAAACATGTTTACAAGGATGAATGAGCCTCTGTTCTATTACCCTCATCCTAATGACATCCCTGCGGATATTACATTAGATTATTTTTATATAAAAGTTCCTGGAGCAGATTATCCTGGGCCTCTAATTAGCACAGTTCTGATCCCAGCTCCCTCCCTCTGGTACAGTTTCCTATTTCTCTGTACAGTTCCTACAAACAGCAGAGAACAGGCATTGTACAATCTTTCACCCTGAAGGCTGAGGGTGAGATCAAGCAGGAAACATCAGATACAGTGAGAGAGACCAGGGTTGGGCTGGGGCATAGCGCTCTGATGTTGGAGGAGATGCCAGGGACAGGATAGTGTTCCTTAATAAAAAACGAAAAGAACTGCAGGTGCTGTAAATCAGGAACAAAAACAAAATTGTTGGAGAGGCTCAGCAGGTCTGGCAGCCTCTGTGAAGGAAAAAACAGAGTTAACATTTTGGTCCAGACCCGAAATGTTAACTGTTTTTTCCTTCACAGATGCTGCCAGACCTGCTGAGCTTTTCCAGCAATTTTGTTTTTAATAGCGTTGCTTCTTTGAGCCTGAATTGACCCCATTCAGTTTCTTAGTCTCTAACTCAATCCTATTTAGCTGCCTGCTTACTCTCCCCAACAGAAATCTATCCAACTTGAATCTTGAAAATTGTAATTGTCATTCCTCCTTCCTGTCAGCATCCATAGCCTTTCAAGATGGAGGTTCATCTTACTATGGCCCTTTCCGTTAGGAGCTGGTTCCTGATTCCAGTACTGAGCAATCTCAATCCAAGTTTAAAATTAAATCCCTGATTCGAAGTTCTCCTGTGACAGAAAATAGTTTCTCTCCATCAAATCAGGAAATCATCTTAAACAGCTCCATCAGATTGCTGTTGCTCCAGGGAATGGTAGTTTTGTTGATGCAAACCTTCCTCACAGTTTAACCTTTTGGGCCCAGTTCTGGACCCTCTCCAAGCTCACTGGCACCCTTCCAGAGATGTAGGTCCCACATGCCCAGCGTTCTCGGTGTGTCATGGCGTTTTAGGGCTTCAGTTACAGTATTAACAAGTCACTATCTACACTCGTGACGTGGGGTTAGGATTTAGAATCCCATGCAGCTGGGGAAGTTAAATTTGGATAATTAAATAAATCTGGAATGTAAAATTAAACCTCCAGTCAGTAACAGTAATCAGAAATCTGCTAGTGTCATTCTAAGCACAGTTCTTTGAAATGATTTATCTCTGACTAGGCAGTGGGTTTGTGGCTTTACTCTGACTAGGCAATGGGTCTGTGGTTACTGGATTAGTAATCCAGAGACTGAGGCTAAAGGTCTGGGGAAATGGGTTCAAATCTCAGCACCAGAAACTGAACCAAACTAGCTGAATAAATATAGGAGCTACAAGAGCAGGTCAGAGGCTAGGTAAAAGGATGACTTGGGGAAGAGCAAGGCCCATTAAGGACCACATGGTAATTTGTGCATGGAGCAGGAGGATGTAGGTTGGGTTCTAAACGAATACTATTAAAGAAATTAGCATAGACAGAGAGGAGGGTCTGAGAAGTCTGGCAGGCTTAAAAGTAGATAAATCTCCAAGCTGGATGAAATGTATCTCAGGCTGGTGAGTGAGACAACGGAGGAAATAGCAGGGGCAATGGTAATAATTTTCAATTCCTCTTTGGCTACAGGAGAAGTGCCAGAGGACTGAAGGATAGTCAATGTGGTACTGTTATTCAAGGAGGGAGCAAGGGTCCACCACTCACTTCAGTCAGGAAGAAGGTATAAAAGTTTGAATACACATACAAACAGATTCAAGAACAGCTTCTTCCCCGCTGTTACCAGACTTATGACTGGACCTCTCAAATGTTAATGTTGATCTCTCTCTCTCTACACCCTCTTTATGGCTGTAACACTGTATTCTGCACTCTGTTCTGCAATCCTGATGCACTTTGTATGGTACGATCTGTCTGTACAGCATGAAAAACAACACTTTGCCCTGTATCGCGATACATATGACAACAATAAACAAATAAATCAATATAAGCCAGTCAATCCAGCCTCAGTGGTGCGGAAATTATTGGGAACAATTCAGAGGGACTGAATTAATCTGTACTCAGTGAGGCAGGGGTTAATCAAGCACAGACAGCATGGTTTTGTTAAGGAGAGATATCAAGGTGTAGAGCTGGATGAACACAGCAGGCCAAGCAGCATCAGAGGAGCAGGAAGGCTGATGTTTCGGGCCTAGACCCTTCTTCAGAAATGTTGTTGTTTTGTTAAGGGAAGGCCATGTATGACCAACTGTATTGAATTTTCAAACAGGGGACCAGGTGTGTAGATGAGGACAATAAATTTGATGTGGTCTACTTGAACTCCAGCAAGACTTTTCATAAGGTCCCATATGGGAGACTGTAAAGTAAGAAATCATGGGATCCAAGGACATTTGGCGAACTGGCAGCTCTTAGAACAGTTCTGAAGAAGGGTCACTGGACCCAAAACGTTCACTCTGATTTCTCTCCACAGATGCTGCCAGACCTGCTGAGCTTTTCCAGCAATTTCTGTTTTTATATCAGAGGAGCTTGCTGTTTGTGGTTAATATTTAGACTTGAATGGAGGAGAGTTGACGAGTAAGTTGACCAACGGATAGAAAAAATGGTGGAGTGGTAAACGGTGACAAGTAGCAAGTAACATTCATGCCACACAAATGCCAGGCTATGACTATCACCAATAAGAGACAATCTAACCGCTGTCCCTTGACATTCAATGGTGTTATCATCACTAAATCCCCTACTATCAACATCCTGGGGGTTATCATTGACCAGAAACTGAACTGGACTTGTCATATAAATACAGTAACCACAAGAACAGGGCAGAGGCTAGGAATACTGCAGAGAGTAACTCACCTCCTGACTCCCCAAAGCCTGTCCACCATCTACAAGGCACAAGTCAGGAGTGTGATGGAATACTCCCCACTTGCCTGGATGGATGTAGCTCCAACAACACTCGGAAAGCTTGACACCATTCAGGACAAAGCAGCCCACTTGATTGGCACCACATCCACAAACATCCACTCCCTCCACCACCGACGCTCAGTAGCAGCAGTGTGTACTATCTACAAGATGCGCTGCAGAAATTCATCAAAGATCCTCAGACAGCACCTTCCAAACCCACGACCATTTCCATCTAGAAGGACAAGGGTAGAAGATACATGGGAACACCACCCCCGCAAGTTCCCCTCCAAGCCACTCACCATCCTGACTTGGAAATATATCACCGTTCCTTTAGTCACTGGGTCAGAATCCTGGAATTCCCTCCCTCAGGGCATTGTGGGTCAACCCACAGCACACGGACGTAGCGGTTCAAGAAGGCAGCTCACCCCCATCTTCTCAAGGGGCAGGGAAATGGATGTTAGCCCAACCACATCCAGTGAGTGAATAAAACAACACCCCCTCAGGCATTCATTAAGTTTGAGTTGCTGGCTTTCCCAGCAACACCTGTGAAAGGTGAATCAGAGATAGTAGGAACTGCAGATGCTGGAGAATCCAAGACAACAAGGTGCAGGGCTGGATGAACGCAGCAGGCCAAGCAGCATCATAGGAGCAGAGAGGCTTGTGAAAGGTATTTGTTTTAAAATGAGCCACATCACTGCAGATCTGGAGCCACATATAGACCAGACCAGTAAGAATGGCAAACTCCCACCCACCCCCCCCCACCCCATACACCACTACCACTGTCACCCACCACCCACAAACCTCTCTCCATGTCCTCCTTCATCCCCCACCCACAACCCATTCCTCATCCTAACCCAAACCCTAACCTCACTCCATTCACCCAACACTCCACTTCCCACTCCCACACCCCCAACTCCCAATTCCCCATCCACCTTACACATCCACATATTTGCCTGTGCATTTCCATCCCTGTCTGCTAGGACCATCCCTCGCCCCTGCAGGGCCCCACCCAAACACCCACCTCCCCCAAGGACTCACTTACTCCCCAGGACCCCCTTACTCCCCAGGACCCCACACCACTCCCCTGCTCCTGCAGGACCCTACCAATTCCTCCAGAACCTCACCCCGCAGGACCACCCCATGACCCACCCACTGCCCCAGGATTTTGCACACACTGATTGTACATCACATACCGGTCGACACACCCATCCACCCACACCCCTGACTCCTTCATTCATACCCAACTTATACAGCCCCTGCCAACCATTCCCCCACCATGTCACTGCACCCCCAGCGCTGCCATCCTGACGCCCACACTATCCTCTTCCTGACTGTGCCCACATGGGAGAAACATTCCTCACCTCTGGAGCACCTGGAGGAAACCCACGCAGACACAGGGAGAATGTGCAAACTCCACAGGGACAGTCACCTGAGGGTGGAATCGAACCCGGGTCCCTGGCACTGTAAGGCAGCAGTGCTAACCACTGAGCCACCGTGCTGCCCCAGCACTAGGGACCTGGGTTCGATCTAAGCCTCAGGTAACACTTCCCTGTAGAATTTGCACGTTCTCCCCATGTCTGCATGGGTTTCTTCCGGGTGCTCCAGCTTCCTCCCACAGTCCAAAGATGTGCAGTTTAGAGTGGATTGGTCATGGGAAATTGCCCGTAGTGTCCAGGGACATGTAAAGTAGGTGGATTAGCCATGGGAAAAGCAGGATTATAGGGATATGGTGGTTGGGGGGGGGCGGGGAGTGGTGAGTCTGGGTGGGATGCTCTGAGGGTCAGTGTGAACTTGTTGGGCTGAATGGCCTGTTTCCACAAGGGATTCTATGATCAGTCCTACCGTAATCTGCAAATCCTTAACTGTCACTCATCACTCCAGTTGCCATTTGCTTCATCATTCCTTCCCCACCACCCCCACCCAGTGTCGATGCCTCCTCCCTACTAAAACTGTGTTTCACTCCCACTTGGATCATTCTGTTTGAGTCTCTCGATGGAGGCCAACAAAACCACAACTGGCTTAAACAGCCATCACTGGATCCGGCAGCGGCACATTATCCCCACTGCAAGGAGCTCATGAACCTTTCTGTTGGGAGACAGCTGCTTCTGTCTCTGCCCTCCCAGTCTCATTCCATCTCTCTGTTCCAACCATGGTCCTCCAAGCACAATACAGCCTTGAGGCAGCTCTGCCTTTGGAATCACTGCTGCATCTTGGAATCCTCACTGCCCCTTGGTTCCACTGAAAACATCTCAAACAGATCAGACTGCCCCACTAGCTTCAGTGTCTTGTTTGAAGCTGGGCATTCCCGGTGATAGAGTCGGGTAGAATGAGCCTAATTTGCTGTACAGTGCTCCGATCTGGAAGATAGCTCCATGTGCATGAGTCATACACCAGGGTAAGTATACAGTTAACTGCAAGAACCTCATCTCCACAGGAGGCTCTGGGAGCTATTACTCAAACTACATTCCTTTTGAAATGTGTGCTGCTAACATTGTTGGCATCATCTCTTTCTGGGACAGAGTTCAATGGGCACTGGCAAATGGCCAGTTACTCACTCACTCCATTACAGTGTAGTCCATGAGCTAAGGCAGTCCAGCCCAAACCTCAGTACAGCCAGAAGTTTCAGTGCTGGTCAGGATTGAGAAACTGAGGGCCACACCTCCCCCAGCCCCCAGAAGCTTAGAAACCGAGCATGTATGGCCCACCCAGAGTATCCAATCAGCTGCCGTGAGGCCTTTTAAAGAAGACAGCTGCATCATTACCATAGGAAGTTTTTCATCTCATTAAAGATAATGAGGGGCCAGTTCATTCCCACTCCTGTGGTCTATTGCCAGATGATTAACAGTTTCTTTGTTCTCAGACTTGTCAGTGTATTGGTCGGGATTTTGTGTGCCAGTCATGTATTCTTCATTTTTACCCCGTTATATTGTGCAGAGTTTACACTCTACCCTGTATCGTACAGTCCAGAAGACGGTCTGTTTAACCCTGCTCTCTGGCCATGCCATGCTTTATGTGGTAATCATGCCAGCTGGGCTGGGCATCACCCTGAGCTGTGTGCAGATGCAAATAGCTGTCCCATAGCCCAGTGCTGAAACACAGGGAGGCAATGTTTAACACTGAAGGAGGCCAGGTTACCTGCTGCTTGACAGGAGGATAAACTTAGATAGCGACGTTCACACCCTCACGCTGACCTAAAAGGCATTTTTAGCTGATGAACTATTTTGAATTGTGGTTACAGCTTTAATGCAAAAAGCACCACAACCAAACTGTACACAGCAAGATCCCAGAAACAGCAGTGTGTCGATGACCAAACAGTTTCAGTGATGTTGGTTGAAAGTAAACATTGGCAGGAAATAGGATCACTCAATGTTACAGCACAAGAGGCCATTTATCCCACTTAGCCTGTGCCAGCACTACTCATTGATTTCCTATCCCTTGCTCTTTCTCCTTAGCTGTCACTTTCCCCTCGAATTACTTATTGATCAAATTTGCCTCCACTACCCTTTCAGGCAGCACAACATTAATCAGGGTAACTGTGTGTGGGTGCATATCTCAGCTTACCCTCCTTTGGAAATTACCTTCAATTCTCTCTCCACCAGCAATAATTTCACCCTATTTACTCCATTCAAACCCTTTCTGGTTTGAACAACTCAATGCTGAGAGATTCAATGTTTTAATGGAATATTATGTCACAGTTTGGGAATGCCTGTTTAACATTTTGTTTAACTTTGTTTAAGAATGGAAACTGTTTCAAACTCTCCATCTGAAATTCCCCAGGTCTCAAACCTGAGCTAAGTGGAAAGAATTCAGAATCGGGTCACACTAGGAAAA